TATTGTTGACTACAGTCAAGATCCTACCTGTTTTCTAAATTATTCAAGACATAAATGATATGAACTCCGTCCAAAGTGCAAACAATATATTATATGTCCTTGATCTCACTCTCCTTTATACTCTATGTTTTGGCCTCAAACAGCCATCATCAGATGTATACACTCATGTTGCTGTTACATTGCATTTAGTTTAAAATTTAACATTTAAAAACACATTGTTCCTTTCGTTGTGCTGGAAACAAGAACTAGCCACTGCAGCACTATAGACATAGGGCGAGTAACCCTGACAATTTTAAAATTAGAACTAAAGATTTTATAAGTGCTAACGTGTGTAACAAAAATAATCAATAACCCAGACAGATATCAACGAAGTAGATGCTGATAATAACAACGAAAGGAACAATGTGTTTTTAAATGTTAAATTTTAAACTAAGTGCAGTGTAACAGCAACGTGAGTGTATACACCTGATGATGGTCGTTTGAGGCCGAAACATGTAGTGTAAAGGAGAGCAAGATCAAGGACATATAATATATTGTTTGCACTTGGGATGGAGTTCATATCATTTATCGTATAGAGTGAAACAAGATGCTTAAATATAATATTATTTAAGACATGCCCATTAAAATGGTAAAATATACACAAGTCATAAAGCATGAGCACAGAACATTCAAACCCCATATGTGAGACGTGCGCAAAACGTTTTGTCTTCTTCTAAATCTGGTAGGTGGTTCCAAACATTTTACATAAAAAAAGACTCTATGGCCTGCAGTGTGCAAGCGAACTATACCGACTGAGCGACTGCCACTTGTCGACAAAGTTAGTGCCAACTTCAGAGGATACAGGGTGATATGTGGTCAGCACAATCAATCCCCACAGCTGATAATTTCGGTTTTCTAGACTGGTAACATTTTACATGTACCTTCAAGAATTCCCTGAAGACAGAGGAAGAAAGTTCTTTTGAAACATTAATAAGCACCTACCAGAATACACAGTACCATAACCCAGAAGACCACAATCTGAAACTTAGATGCCATGGAAACCTCAATCTCGCAATAAATCATTTCTGAAGCTGTCACAATTTCAAAGACATACAGGCATCCGAATGCATCTTAAATGAAGAATCATCAAAATCCTGTATAGTGTCATGATTTTGTCACATTATGTGCATGGTGTGTTCTTATAGCTATTAACTATGTACGCATTTTCAGCATTAGAGCAGAGAGAAAGAGAATGTGGTTTATCAGTTTTTCAACTACTCTCCTCATACTGATTTGCTTGTAAGATGCACCTTCCTTAACACATTTAAAAGTTCATACCTTATGCTTAAAAACAAAAACTTCAATCAGGACTGTTATGTGTTAACCTTGCGGGCTGATGCAGCAACAACACTCTTTAGACTTGTATCTGGGAGGCACTCGGCACAAACCTCAGTGACGACACCAGCTTTCTGACTGAGGTTTCTTGTGGTTTCATCAGTCCCTCCAGGCAAATGCCACAATATTTCCAATATTTCCAACTCATCAATTATCTTACCATTCCAAGTTACATACTCTACATGCTGAGAGCATTTTAAAATAAACCAAAGTAACACATTTTCTGCTGGTCCCAAACATCTCCATGAATGCTGTTCTATCCTATTTAACTGAACCCAAGAGACTCTCATTATTAACACACTCTTTCCACATTTCTGAATGAATACTGTACTCATCTTAAACACATGAAGCTATATCACAACACTGGAAGATGGCACATAAAGTCTAATTATCTCCTGGGCTACTCACTTTTATTTTTAGAATTTTGGGGTAAAATGGTAGGCTAACAGGGACTGAACTACACTTTTATATGTGGCAAGGAATGTGTTAAAAAGATTCACCATCACACTTTTACAATTTCCATTTCTACAAGCTTCATTTCTTAATAATACTTTATAATATACAAGCTTGAAGAGGAATGCATATAGGATATTGGTGGGAAAGCCAGAAGGAAAGAGACCACTGGGAAGACCAAGGCATAGGTGGGTGGATAATATTAAAATGGATCTTAAGAGATAGGATGGGATGGTATGGATTGGATTGATCTGGCTCAGGATAGGGACCAGTAGAGGGCTCTTGTGAACACAGTAATGAACCTTCAGATTCCATAAAATGCTGGGAAATTCTTGAGTAGCTGCAGAATTGGGGGCTCCTCATGAAGGGCTCAGCTCCACAAGTAATATACAAGCTTAACTTCCTTTGGTGTACAACACAGGTTGTAACTGTTGACATCAACATTCCCTCACAATGGTTACAGAGGTGCATATATTCATAAATATAAATAAAAATGAGAGTTCCTGTAACTGAAAAAATGCACCCTCACCATCTTTTATTTATTGTATTTACTGTTAATAAGCTGAAATATTAACAATATAATCATTTTATTCTCATTAAACCAACTGGCATAATAATTCTGCATTCAAACTACAAAGATGATTCAGATTTGGAAACAGAAAAGTTTATACTAAGCAATTATAATCCACACAAAAACCTCTACATGCCAAATAACTAATCTAACAACCGCAGTAATTCAAGGTTTAAGCAAATCTGTTGCCTGCCTATGAGTTGTCACTCAATCTTTCAAACTGTGGCCACTAACTCCGTGCAAATTTCTTTATATTGTACTTCCAAGTTTTATATTTTTTGGGGAAATCACCTTGCAAATGTTAGTGGAGTTTTGAAACAATTTTCTTAAAATATTATATAAAGATCACAGCTTCGTTTCATCACTCTTCCTGAGGAAACGTTATTCAACCAAAGGAATGGAAACAGCCATAATTACCCACAAAATGTTAGTAGCTGGGATGACAGCACAGTCAATACAGTGACTGGCTATGGGCTGGCTGGACGAGAGGTTTGTGTTCAAGTCCCAGTAGGGTCAAGAATTTTCTCTTCTCTACAGGATACAGACTGACTCCGAGGCCCACCTAGACTACTATCTAATGGGGACCAGGGACTCTTTCCCCAAGGTAAAGCAGCCAGAGCAAGATACTAACCACTGACTTCCATCTAGTGCTGAGCTTAAAACACACAAGACTATGCTTCCAGTCCCCTTTATGCCTTCATGGCATGGAGCTAATTGGGCTCAAGTGACATCTTCAAGTATGGCCACAGATTCAGAAGTTGAGACTGCTGGACTGCCAGCTAATTACTTGAAACAAGATCAGTTAAATAAACAGGACAGAGTGGTTCAGAACAATATTGGCTCCTGACATTTCCCAAATCAAAAGCATTCACATTTTAAAACCATTCATACCAAAGGAGTAATGTGGCACCCCAATAACACAAGACATGTGCTGTGTGCCATCAGCAGCACTTTACTTCCCTATTTAATATCAATTTTAGTACAACCAACAGACAATGATAGGTTACGGACATGTAGCCATTCTTACAACTGTGATTTGATCTTAACATAAGAACTGATTATACAGAATGGGAGACACAAAACTTCCTTATTTTGAAGGTGAGCAAAAGAAAAATTATTGCTGATAGACAAAATTTATGTTTAGCTAATGAAATAAAATACTTTAAAGTTTTAAACAAAATATCTTGAAGGTGGCAGCCACTGTTCTCTATGCACTGATGCTACCGTTTTCTGAAGTTCCCCTCTGCACGTTCCAACATGTGCACCGGAATTTGGGCTACTTCCTGCCAAATAACATTCTTCAGCTGAAGCAGGTTTGTGGGGCGATGTTTGAAAACCTCTGCCTTGAGGTATCCCCATAAAAAAATCACAGGACGTTCAATCAGGTGAGTGCGCTGCCCACGGGATGTCACCTCGAAGCGAGACAACCTGTCCGGGGAACTTTGCCCTCAAATCTGTCATCGAAGCTCGGGCTGTGTGGGCCGTGGCACCATCCTGTTGGAACCAGACATTTCCTAGATGCAGTTCTTCAAGAGCTGGTTTGAAAAAGTTTTTAATCATGTCCACATGCTGCTCTGAATTGACAGTAACTGCATGATTGTCTTCTTCAAAAAAATAAGGGCCAATAACTCCAACTCTCGACAATGCACAACATACTGTCACCTTATCACTGTGAAGTGGCATCTAACGGAGCTCTCTGGGATTGTTACCACTACAATAGCGCATATTCTGCTTGCTGACATATCCGGATGGGTGAAAATGTGCCTCATCACTAAAGAAAACAAGTGCATCAGGGGGTAAAGTTTCCAATAACGTTTCGCACGCCATTATTCAGTTCTGGAAATCACGTAGTGACAATTCTTGCACAACCATCTTATAGGGATGGAAATTAAGATGTTCATGAAGAATTTGGCACATTGAACAACTGGATATGTCTAGGGCGAACGCATGTTTGTGAGCAGAGCATCTTGGAGATCTCAAAATCGACCGTCGAACTGCCTCCACATTTTCTGGCGCCGTAACGGTCCGCTGTCGTCCTGATGATTTTTTCAGCACACTCCCGGTTGTCCTAAAGTTCTCTACCCACAAAACAATCGATTTCCGGTCGGGAACCGGACCTCTGGACTTAATTCTGAAGTGGGTACGGAATGCACACTGCACCGCCACATAGGAATGGTTGTTCAAAAAATATGCTTCGACAGCAAATGCACGCTGCTCACTTGTCCACCTCATGTTTCCTACTGAGGGGTATTAGACAGAAACTTCCGTGACTGCTGCGTTCGCCAAGCCTATCCCCACTTTTCTGTGACCTCCCCTCCCTTTACAATGCGTCTTCACAAAAAGGAAGTTTCTGCGCCCCACCCTGTATTATACAAAAGGTAAAGCTATCCCTGAAACAGGTCATGAAGGCCCATAGGGTTGTGAGATGTCGAGGCTCCTACATTTTCTCTAGACAATCAGCTCAAAGATGGTGGTAAGGTTGTCAGCCTTACATGCCAGCTGTCCTTTACGTCCCAGGAAGATTCCTGGCACTCATTTCTGTCAGAGGTTGAGTCGACCCCAGGGCCACAGTGTGGCTGGAAGGATTAGGTCAATTGAAAAAATCGATGTCATCGGGACTCGAACCTAATACCTTCTGGTTTGTAGCATACTGCCTCAACCAACTACGCTACTGCAAGCCCATATATGGCTTAAGCAATATATCTGGTTAACACCATCTTGCATTCCATGCAGAGATTTTCAAAAGAATATTCTCCATTTTTTAATTTTCTTGGTAAGTTTTATATTAAGTTTGTACAACAATACTAATGTTGGAAAAACTAAAGTGTCAAGATAAGGTAGGGCAGGTTTCTTTTCACTGATGATGTCACAGACCAAAGGCAGGAAGACTTCCGTACCCCGAAGAGGGAAGCAGCGAAACAAGTACCTTCCAAACAACTTTTTTCCCCAACACAGAAGACCACATACAATCTCAAGGAAGAAATCCTGGTTACAAACCAATATGTCCTGTTTACAACATGGAAACTAAACAAATACAAAAGTGGAAGCTTCAAAATCAAAGGCTTTGTCACTTAATTTGACACGTACATAATTAGTCTGAAATGAAAAAAAATGCCATGTGATGGAAGGAGATCTTGAAATCCACCAGGGAAAATTTCAAAAATATCACCTGTCACTCTTTCTCCAAATTCACAGTGGAAAATAAATCATCTAATGGAAGGAATATATCCCAATTAATAATCAATGGGTTCCACAAGTGCCCCTTTAGAACCATGAGATTAATAGGAAACCGTTCACAGGAAATTAAACACCAATGACTGCAATGTTTATGCTTCGGTTTATGTTCAAATACCGTGTGCTGTATATTTTAGCAGACTTATATAAACAGGGTGTGAAATATGAGTTGAATTAAATAATAATAAAAAAACTTCCCACACACTTGTATTGAAAGTGTGAATCAATTTTGCTAACAGAATCCAAAACAATCCTGGCCACATATCAATGGGACACAGTAACGTGGCTGTACTGTGCCACAAAGAACTCCACAGCCAATGAGCTATAAAATAATGCTCATGTTTGCACAAAGAAGATGCATCTTACAAATTAGTAAATTACAGAAAAATAATAATACATTTTAAACAACAGTCTTCAAAAGCCACAGAATATACAAAAGAAAATAATATATATATATATATATATGTGTGTGTGTGTGTGTGTTAGTTGGTCTAAATGTTACATATATGCAGACTAGCATGTCCAGTTCCTGTGACAATTTCCTGTATCAAGTTTATCCATGCAAGATGTGCATTATGCTTCTCTGCAGTGTCAACCTGCATGCAAATTTACCATCAAGTGGTCACATTTGTCTTCATGTACTGCTCCACCTGATACTAACAGGCATTCTGTATTATATCTGCTGCAAATCATATTTGATGAATTACACATTCACTTTCTTCTCTAAGTACTAAAGTGCAATAATAACTGTTAATACTAATCACATCATTTAAATGTTAAGTGTGTTTTCTACATACTGGTACTAGGTATTAAAATAACTGTTCTTAAAATCCCTGTTTTTACAAGAAATGTCTGAACTAAGCTCATGACTAGGGCCACTTCAACAGCCCCGAATTATTGTACTTTCCTCCAACAACAGAGTTCCAACTGTGCAAATGACATCTGAATCAAAAATGTTCCCAGAAAATCAACACTTCAAACCAGAATAATTTCTACTGATTATGGAACACTAATATTCTAACAGTTTGCTGTCAGTAATTCTCATATGCTACTCAATTATTTCTTCAAATTGAACATGCTTAAATTAAATTACCGATCAATTTTAAGTTCTAAATTCTGGCAGATGCAAGATTAAATTATTTCACTGGCAGCACAATGTAATTTACATAAAAATCACATATGCAAAGTAAAGTTTGATAACCCCCTTATCTTCATATGTGCACAGCAAATCTAAATTCATTAAATCGTATGTAAACTCAATAACTGCAATTAATTCAAACTTGTAACATATGAGCAGGAGAAAAATTTTATACCTATATAAAATACTACAGATTCAAAAATAAAATTTCAAGCGCTTCAGTTTTTACTTACTTCAAATAAAACTCTATGCTTCATACCAACAACTGATGGCAGTTATGCTCTCTAATGATGGCAATTCCCAATCAAAATCAAGTGCTCACTGGCCAATCTGCTTCTAAGAAAAAAGCACTTGGTGTGAAGTGAAAACATTAACTTGTATTTAACATACACTCAAAGCAATTTACTAATAACGAAGCCTGAGGCCCCCATACAAAACTTCTTGGAGTAAAATTATTTAACACAAGGCATTCGCTATTGCCCAGGACAAGAATTTCTACCTACAAGGAACGAATAAACAAGTTTTTTTTTTTTCAATTCTGTATACTGGTACAGTACATGTGCTATTTTTGTTGAATTCAGAATCATTTTGGTGGCTCCTTACACTCTCAATGTAAGCTACTTGCTACAGCAAGTGTACGTTACCAGTCTCCAATCCTGTCCCTTCCCAGCTGCCAGTTGGTGTTGAGGATCTGAGTTCCTCAGAAGCTGTTCTGAGCTGGGAGTTAGTCAAAAAAGAAGTCATAATCTGACCAGTCTGAATCATCTGAATCAGACAAGAAGGCCACAAGATCTTCAAGTTCATCAATGCTATATAACCAACGGTTTTCCCGTTCATCCAGGAAGTCCCACAGGATGATTTGCTAAAAAGGAAAGAAGACAAATACATGGTATCCACAGTGACATTATGGCAGAGCTGTAGACATGAACAGGAGTCTCAACTTTGCTGTATCTGACAAGGTCACATAGCTATGAGTGCTATTTGGAAAGTAACCTCCGGTGAGCTGTTAACAAAACAAGCAATGAGAAACAAAAAATTTATTATATACAAGAGATACCTACATACTTCAGCTACTTCTTAACATAGTCACCACTGGAACAGGCATCTGTCATATTGGGGAACAAGTTTTCATATGCCTGTATCAAAGTACTCTTGACACCTGTGAGCTCAGCCACATTTTAACACCTTCCATCGAGTCCTCATTACTGTTGAAGGGCTATGATCCCTACTAGTTATTCAGGTAGCTAAACAGGTGGTAGTCGCTCAAAGTGAGACCTGACCTGTAAGGAGGGTGGTCAAACAACACCCAGTTCAAATGCTCTAGCAGTGCTTAAGTGCAAGCAGCCGTATGCAGACGCTCATTGTTATGGAGAAGCACTATACCGGACGTCAGCATTCTACCCCTTTGTTTTGAATGGCCCTGTGCAGGTTTTTTTAGTGTTTTTCAATACACTTCTGACATTAGCAGGGTCTCTTGCTGCACAAATTCCACCATCAGCACCCCTTGCCTCTACCAGAAAACAGTTACAATAAGCTTTCTAGCAAACACCGTTTCTTTAAACTTTTTCGGCTTGCTTGGTGAGCACGTGTGTGCATCGATGGCTTTGAATGTTCTTTAGTTTCAACATTTAGAAAAGAAATTCAGGTTTCTCACTTGTCACTTGTATGCCATCTTTGTGATATCGCTCTAAATGTCAAAGTTGAAGCCAATCTCTGTTTTGTGCATACTCAAGGGTATTTTCAGAACCTATCCTGTGCAAAACTTGCAATAGCCTAGCCTAACTCTGATAATATAAATTCAAACAACAGTTCTGAAACTGTGAAGTGCCGTCTTTCACAAATGTTTTCGACAGCACTTTGAACAAGATCACTAACAACAGACGGCCGGATGACCACTTCACTCTTCGTCATGAACATTTTTGCCCATTTTTAAATATTCTACATTACTCGGTCTTACATTTCCTTCACTCATTACATTTTGGCCATAAATTGTGCATTAACGCTTATCCTACGGCCCTTTAAATTCCGGTTGTGGCAGCCGTACGGAATNAGAATCGATTTCTGCGGCACTCCCATTTTTTAGTGTGAAGAAAGTGGATAACAACATGAATTTTGCAATTGGCAGGATTATCAGCAGCAGGGCACACTGTAACTCATTCTGTATAGACAAGAACAAACACTAGGTGACCAGTTATGTGATGGTTTACAAGGCAATGAGTCATGTGATGCTACCTTGCATGCAAGAGCTCTCCCCTACTCCTACATTACTTGCCTAAAATAAACAGAGGTTACTTGCTGAATAGCCCCGTATTACACCAAGATTCTAATGTGGGAATAGTCCAGATAAAATTGTATGGGTTAATTCCATTTCTGAGGTTAGAGTTCCAGTCTGAATCATGTACTTCCTGTATGTTTTAATATTTGAAGTTTGATGGCAATAAAAGCTTCACAGCAGAACTTCTCTCTTCATAAGTGACTGCCAATTTTGAAATAATAAAATCTATATCAATCGCCCACTTCAACAACACAACAAACCTCCTTTTGACAAATGAACTGGAGTTGATTATTTCATATCCATGCCCCCAAATATCATTCTTTCTCAAACATCAACCTCTCATACAGAATCAATTTCAACTCCACAAGTACTCAAAAATATCAGAGCAAATCAAAAATACACCATAAACAGCCAACCTTTTTAAATAATACAACTTCTCTGCTATCAGACTTTAAAAGTACATAAAGTTCATACTTCTCACTAAGACAGCAGTGGTATAAAATTCCATTATCTCTGCAACAAAGGGAACTCACCTGCAGAACATCAATATCACCATCAGCATTATGTCGTCGCTGACGAAGTGGTGGCCCCACGTCTGCCTTTGTTCCATCAGGGTATGCATGTAAATAAAAGCACTTGTTTCCAAAGGGGCACTTCCCTCGCCCTGACCTGAAATATTTGCAGTCCTTCACACTGTAAGAAAAGAAGGAAATGTTTAAAGAGAATAATGTTTGCTTTAAAAAATTAGAATATATATGTTGTATTTGAGGATTACACTTCCGGTACCTTCAGTCTAAGACACAGCCTCTACAGGAGGAAGGGTAGTCAAAAAAGGGACAGCAGATAACGCATTACCCTCATATGGGCCCTCTTGTTCACCATTTGAGATGGCCCTGGGATTAGGAAAGGTAATAGAAACTGGAACTGTAAAACCTCGGGTCTAGAAAACCGAGATTAACGGCTGTGGGGCTCCGTTGTGCTCACCATGCGGCACCCTCTATCTTCAAAAGTTGGCATTAACTTCACCGACAAACAGCAGTCGCTTGGTCGGTATAGTTCCCTTGAGGACTACAGGCCACGGAGTGGGTTTGTTTGGTACTGTAAAACTAGGGGCCTGATATCAATGTAATTAATGAATAAGAATTATAAAAAAATTAATGAGGCTGTAACACATGCAGTGGCCCCTTATATTTCAGCAAAAGTGACAAATGACCTTTATACTTTTTGAAATCCACAATGCAGTAAGTTATAGGAGTCAAGGCCTAAGAAGACTATAACAAATAGTACAACACAAATAAATGAGAACAAGGCGATCACTCCAAGAGGTAGGGCTAGGCAAAAAAAAAATCATATATAAATTACGAGAATCTGCCAAGGGTGAGTAAACCAAAGAAATCATCCAAGAAAAAATTTACAAAAACTGGCCAAACCTAATTTAAAAATGCATACCCACATTATGGTCCCCAGTCACCAAAATGTCTATCTAGGTGCTTCAAAGGGCCTTGCCACAGTCACAGTAATGACTAACTTGAAGTATAAATTCTGCAAGTACCTCGAAGGCATTGTGATACCATGATCAGCATAAAGGGAAGGACAAGGGACAGAAGAAGGTGGCTACAGGGTATTTCAGGCTACAATGAAACCTATAATCATTGTTCCCCTACACACTATCTTTCTGTAAGCATCATTCCTCCAAGAGCAGTTTTCCCATGTCAGTTATTCAGAATTTTTGGTCCTCACTCAAAATATTCCTGGGATGATCATTTAAGGAAGGAGGAAAAAAAGTAAAGTGACGCTTTTTAAATGTACAGCAGTTGTGAGCCACCCAGACTGCCGTTTCTGTGAAATTTTTATTTCAACAGGTAAAATGAAAGTATAACGGACCAGTGCATACATTTATGGAATCTGAAAAAGCTTTCGAATCAAGAGAGAAGTTGATTAATTAATATGTGTTAACATTAGTGTGGAGTAAGAATTTATCTAAGAGAATACTCAACTGTAATCAGATACTTGAATATACTACCAACAAATTAAGTCAAAATATAAATACTGTCACATGTAGGGGGGGTATGCGTGACGAAATGACGGGTTCTAGTTCGGATGATTTGATTTACTGACAGCTTCGTTACACACGCTCTCTCAATTACACTCAAATCACAGTGCTATTGCTGATTTACATACACCTCATAATCCACCGTCGTGTCGCACACATAAGTCTTCTAAATCACAGCTGATATTCTCACAGACAACCTTCTGTATCCCTGGTTCACTTCGCTTGCTTCCGCCGCTCTCAACTACTCGTAAGTCGTACTCATACTGCATACTCAATAATCGTACTCAATACTGCATCAACACTGACGAGTACTCTCATTATGTAGCTTTCGCCCTGACCACACAGAAAATGTGTTTACTGACTGCCTAGCAACAGTCGCTGCATGGACTCCCCTGTTGTGTGACGTCACAGCCTACCGGAGAGGGGTGTTTACCGAGCATTGTTATGCAATGAACACTTGTTGCTACAGATATTCCTACACAATGGTCTCAACATTTTCCATTGTTTTGTTGCTCAGCGATGGACATATAACATGTCACAATATCATACAGAATAAAGCAGAATTTCTTTTAATTATTGAGGAACAACAACAGAAATAAAATTTGATAATTTAAAAAACAATGAACTCAGGAAGCACGTGTGCGCGCACACACGTACACTCCACACGTGGGGTTTTGTGTGTGTTTTCTGCACAGTCTGCCAAGGGAGATGCCTCACGCTGTAACATGAGAATGCAAGAAGAGGTGTTTTCTGTGGGGTCTGCCCCAAAGCTACATCTGTAGAACCAAAACCTGTGGTTAGAGTCTAGCAGAAGTCAAGTCCAGAGGCAGGCAAACAGACAGTCCCAGTCTATGGAGGTCCTGGGTCCTGGCTAGAATGCAAGTGGAACAAACAGCAGAAGAGTCGTCATTAGGTGGCAGTTAGGGAGTGCACTCTGTGAGCCATAAGGGTGTGAGAAATAGCCCTTGTTGGAAGGCTATAACCAGGCAGCACCTGTCAGTTGAGAGAGAGACACAAACCAACAAGGACAGGATCTGTGGAACATGGAATCTAAGGAATCAATGGCATTGGAAGCCATTACCAGGCAACCATCAGTGCAGACACAGCAGATTGAAAGGACTTAGTGAGTGCTATAGTGATCTGTTAAATGTGTAGATCCATGAAACTGTTATAGTTACTTGTAGTTACAAGTTTCAATAAATCTAATTACCAATTGAAACCCCATCTACAGTCACTTAACACTAACACAGAAACTGCAAAAGTAAAAATTATGATGCAATGAAACTAAGGAACATACACCCTTTACAACAAAAAAAAAAAATTATTTTAGAAACAATTTCAGAGCCAAACTCTTGCCAACATGCTATGGTTTATGTGAAAGTTCTGTAACTACACTCTTACAGAGACAATACATTTACCTGAGAGCACCTTTGTAGTCCTTGATCAATTTCTCTTTCTCCTCCTTTGTGTCAACCCAGTACATGCTGGGGCAAACAAAATCAGAAGTCACTCGACATTCTGGACACGCCCTGGAATTAACATCTCATTTCAAAATTTTATTATAATTAACATACATAAATTTCCTATACAGTGGCCAAATAACCCTTGTAGTGACAATGTACTGACCGCCCATGTGGTCTAGTGGTCAGAATTCCTTGCTACAGATCCACAGGTCCTGGGTTCGATTCCCGGCACTACCAGATTTTCTGAGTAGTAGTGGGTCTGGAACAGGCTTCACTCAGCCTTGTGAGGATAACTGAGGAGCTATTTGAAGGAAATAGTGGCTCCAGTTTAGAAAACCCAGATTAATGGCCGTGGGGACCCATTGAGCTGACCACGCGACACCCTCTATCCGCAAAAGTTGGCACTAACTTCACCGACAAGCGGAGGTTGCTCGGTCGGTATAGTTCGGTTGCAGACTACTATGTACAACATAGACTAAAAATAGTGAAATTCAATGATAAATCCTATGCAGCACCTGATGTGATGGTACCACGTGGACTTATATGAAACATGGCATAGCTGCTATGTGTGAACACTGTGTCCATTAAAGTGTTTCCTTCTCAGTCATCTGTGGTTTTTGTGAAAGAACTACTTTATATAGTGAAGTTTATATACCTTAGTGGGTGGTGGAGTCCAGTTGGGTCCACTCGGCACGGCGGCCACTGACTGGCCTATTGTACCTACCCCAGGTGTTTATGATGATGGAGAATTTGGTGGAACGAAGACTGGCAGGAGAAACCGAAGTACTCAGAGAAAACCCGCCCCAGCGCCACTTTGTCCACCACAAATCCCACTTGACCAGACCTTAGATCAAACCCAGGCCGCCGTGGTGGGAAGCCAGCGACTAACCGCTTGAGCTATGGGGTGGCCTAAGTGTATATACCTACATTATAACTGATGCTTTAAATTTTCAATGGCTTGTTCACAGATTCTGGCTCACAGCATAACTGTTCTCTGTCATATAGAATACGCCAAGCTGTACGTCTTCCCTGAGTTCTGTGTCTGGACTAAATCCACTTCACCTTATAAATACTGCCACAAAAATAAACCATACTAAGTGAGAAGAATGGCCACGCCATAGCTCAAGCGGTTAGTCGCTGACTTCCCACCGTGGCGGCCTGGGTTCGATCCCAGGTCTGGTCAAGTGGGTTTTGTGGTGGGCAAAGTGGCGCTGGGGCAGGTTTTCTCCAAGTACTTCGGTTTCCCCTGCCAATCTTCACTCCACCAATTGCTCCACAATCACCCTCACCTATCATCTGGGGCTGGTACAATAGGCCAGAAGTAGCCGCAGTACAGGGACTTGGTCCCACTCCACTAGCAATAGAAAAAAGTGAGAAGAAGGTGGCCGTAAACCACAAATCACAACCATTCCACAAAACAAACTGTTCAAGGCTCCAACCGCATGCTTGGAAATACCTGCAGTTGCATAACATTCATGGAAATGTCCATAGCTTCTCTTCATGCATCACTTACCTAAAATATTGTGGCTCACCTACCTAAAATATGTTGCAATTAACGCTCTCTGCATACATGAGTTGACCCATTACCCTCTTTGCAGTCAGCATGCACAAAAATGCAACTTTCACATCATGGAATTTAATTTCATGTATAAAATACAAATTCAGTTCTGTGTCTGTTACTCTGTGCATTCATGTGTCCATTGAAACATAACAAAGCCTCATCTGTAAAATCTGTCAATCTGTGATAAATGAAATGGTTGCAAAGCATGCAAAACTGTGGTTCTTTAAAACCATAATTCCCGTAACTTTGTAGCAGTTCGCCTAGTCCACTATGATACTTGTGCAAGGCACGTTAACGGACATATCAGGAAAATATTCAAGTGAAGCTCAGATTTCACTGAACTTTTCTTCTATTAGTATTTAGTTCTGGATTTTGGTTTTGTGTCTATGAATATGACACATGTTTTTACTTTACTGACAAGATTCAAAATAGTGTACCTATGGGGAACTCACGAGCGGCCTCTGTAGTCTAGGGGTAACGTTCCCACCTCATGACTCAAGGTACGTGGGTTCAAACCCAGCGGAGGTCGTGGAATTTTTAAGGACGGAAAAATGCAGGGAACAAGTCCTCCGGGAGGGTCTTTAAGCCGTGGGTCCCGTGTTGTAGATTTACGGCACGTAAAAGATCCTCGTGTCTCTAGGAGATCTATGAGCTAAATTAGGCAAAAAGTTTCCTGCCCAAGTAGTTTCCAATGCCTCTGGTAGATGGGGGAAGCATCAGGTACCGAGGGCCGACCTCGTTGGCTGAACGGGGCTGATAGCAAGCACCAGTACCGGCAGGGTATGGCAACTGGTAGAATATCAAAGGGGAACGTACAATAGACTATTAGTTGCGGTGCATGGGGAAACCCACCCCCTATAACAACAACAACACAACAACAACAATAATAATAATAATAATAATAATAATAATAATAATAATAATGGGGAACTCACACTTGAGGAAACTTGCTTCTGAATTTCCTCAGGCTCTTCCAAACTTCATACAAAAACTCCTAATGCTCTGGTGTAAACCTATGCATGTCCTACACAAAGGTATCCTTGTTAACAGGCAATGGAGGCCCATAGGGTAGTGAGATGTTGAGGCTTCCACATTTTCTAGACAATCGGCTCATATACGGCGGTAAGGTTGTCAGCCTTACGCACCGACCACCCTTTATCCCCAAAGAATATTACAAGAATATTCCTGGTACTCATTTCTGTTAGAGGCTGAGTTGACCCCAAGGCCATAGTGAGGCCGGAAGGATTGGATAAATTGAAAAAATTAAACCTCATCAGGATTTGATCCCTCAACCTTCCGGCTTGTAGCATAGTGCCTCAACCAACTATGCTACAGAACCAGGTAAAAGGTAAGGTAAAGCTGTCCCTGAGCGTAACTAATTAAGCAGTACGCCGTGAAGGCATATGGGGGGGTAGGTGTAGAGAACCACATTTTCTTGACTTCAGCACAAGAATGAGTCATATGTTAATATCATAAATGAGCATCCACACTTTTACCACTGCTGCTAACTCATCAGGGTAGGAGTAAAACATGCAGTCATCACACATACCAGAAAAGCAATATTATGGTTCAGCTTGCAAACAACCTCACTGTATATTCAGATGTACTGTTCTTATGTCTACAGTTAACCACATTTATAATCAAGTCATTGCTGCCAGTCACTTCTTGGCTTCTACAGGTGTCCCTCATGTTTACAAGGAAACAAGTTATACAAAACACTGATAATAACTCAGAATAACACTGACACAGTGGCTATGCAGTTCATGGACAACAGTGCATATATCTGGGAAAGGTATGGGAACATTCAGCAAGTTACCTACCAGTGTTTGAAAAAAGAAAGTAACAGGTATGAGGTGCTATCGGAAAGTTCCTGGGCTTTTATTGTTGTAACTGCCTCATTAAAAGAATATGAGTGGGGAGGCCATGGTCACACTTCCGCAAGCCTATTGCATCAGCCTGCCACATGACACTGTGCTGTGAACATATACTGTTTTTACATGAATGCTTTTTCGACTTCGTGTTTCATTTTGCCTGCGATGGATGGCAAAATCAAGCAACGTGTCTCCATCAAGTTCTGTATAAAGCTCAGTAAATCTGCTACTGAAACCCTTGAAATGCTTCCTGAGGCTTTCACAGAACTTCTTTAAGCCAGACAGTGGTTTTCGAATGGCATTCATGTTTCAAGGCCAATCGAGAAATAAAGCAAAAATCATGGCAGTGGAAGAGTCCAATATCACCAAGCAAAAAAGTTCAGCAGGTCTGGAGTTCACCAAAGGGCATGCTCATTGTTTTTTCTGATGTGAAGGGGATTTTTCACCATGAATTAGTTCCTCATAACATTTTACTGTGATGTTTTCAGGCACTTGAAAGAAAATGTGTGACAAAAAAGACCAGAACTTCAGCGAAACCACAACTGGCTCCTTCATTACAAAGCACCCGCCCACACGTCCCTGAAAATCACAGAGTTTGTGACTAACAAAAACATGGTCATCATTCCGTCTTCCCTATTCACTGAACTCAGCCCCCCTGTGATTTCACTTTGTTTCCCAAATTTAAAATTAAATTGAAGGAATGACATTTTGACATCAAAGGGAATTGTAAGTGGTACTCAATAGCATTAAGGAAAATGACTTCCACGATACTTTTGAAGCATGGAAAAAATTAAGGAATTTCTATATACGTTCCCAAGGAGACTATTTTGAAGCAGATGGCGGTAAAAATTCATTAAGCTAAGACAGCAATTCTTTTTTTACATAGTCTGGGAACTTTCTGATAGCACCTCGTATGTACATGTTGTGACATGTCATCCACTGGACATTTCTGTGCATCCAATTTTTCATGTTATTCACAAATGACAAGATAATAAGATGACTTATGTAAATGGCCGAATTTTACTGGACATTCAGAAGATTAGAAGATGAAGTTTAAAACTGTAATGAATATTTGGAACTTTTATAAAAGGATGTAGATGTATGCTCTACTAGACTGAAAGCTGATAAAGCTGGTTCACTACTGGCATCTAGAAAAAAAACAGGAGATCATACAGTAACAGCACAGGGGATTCCCAATCCATACAATTTCATGTTCAGAAGTATTCTGGCAAGATTAAGGCCAATGTATTCCGTTCAAGTGTATCTTTACCTATACTGGAACTCAATGCAAGTCCATAGTTATGAAGGCCTTATGTGATGTAATTAAATACAAGGAATAATGAAAATGAAAAGAGTAGCCAGACATATACACAACTCACAAAAATGTCAGATTGTTGTGTAAGACTGGCATCTGTGAGCTCAAAAACTCAAACCTACAATGAGAACCTATTCTCGATTTATCATGAAAAAACACATACAGAAATGTTTTCCAGTGACTGTGAAAAATGCTGTATATGTTTCACTTGGGTTCAGCTCTAAAGGAATGACTTCCTTGGAATCAAAGCGGAACAGAGAGAAAAAATGAACGGTAAATTCTGTTCATACTCGGATATGTACCTTACTCAATGACCCTTACATGGCACAAACAAAACCTCACAGGCTCGTATATGTCAATGCTTATGCAATATATAAGCTAAACTCCACTAAGAAACAAAGAGTCAGTAAATAGGTCACAAATTGATATAAAACATAAGACATGTCATATTCAAACCCAGGAAACACATTTATTTCTTGATATATTCTCCATCAACATTGATACACTTGTCCCGTCACTTTACCAGTGCGTCGAAACCCGCAGTATGGAAGTCTTTTGACTGTTGTCTCAGCCACTTCTATGCCTGGTTGGGCATCATCTGCGACTTTTGAAAATCCTTGAGAGAATTTCTTGACCCAGTTATGAACCACTTTACACACAAACAAAAAATTGCATGAAACATTTCTTTATGAATATCCTTTGCCTTGTATCCTTTTGCCCACAAAAAAGAAATGCATGAAATATTTCTTTATGAATATCCTTTGCCTTGTATCCTTTTGGCCCACAAAAAAAGAAATGAACAACAGAATACTGCACTTTGGTAGCACATTCTTCAAGCATGGTCACCATTTTGACTACTGAAACCAGCCTCTAGACATGTGCATGCAGATCTGCTGCCTAGACTGTCATGAAGCTGGACTGTTCTCCTAGCTAGTGATACATACAGAAAACCTATTACATCTATTACAGCTGTTTTACTTCCATCTGTGGCCTATTTACTGACTCTCCCTTGTAAAATGGCAAACCTGATTATTTTGTTCTCAAACTGTTTCGCTTGTCGCCATTTCCTAATGCAGCTGAGACAGAAGCAATGGTTGCAATTTGGCAGTATACCAAAACGCTGCTCACGTGGGGACTTTTCCATCACCACTTCAAAGCAAACTCCACATGTTTTGTCTTTGGAACGTGCCACTGCAAATGACAACTCCATATCCTGCTCATGCTGTTTGATACATTCCTGCAACAGCAAATCCAATATTTTTCAAGTACTACATGTAAAGACTGGCATGCAGAACCAAACCCAGCCATGTATGAACACTCTTTCATACAGGACTGGCATGAGCCACAGAAATCCTCCATTGCTATAATGTGAAAAGCATCCGTGCCTACAAATGAGACAGTTACGTCTGCATGTTAATTCTGAAACTTGGAATGACAAACGAAAGCATATGCATTTATGGAAGAAAAATGCATACTTCACACTGGAACAGTTCCTGGAATTTTGAATTTCACCAAAGGTTTGGAATGGTGCATGGTCTACAGTTTTGTTCTGTTCTGAGTTACGTACATTATGGGTCATGTACATGATGACTGGCATAAAAGGAAACACAACCTGTGCTACTATTTGTGTTGTTTGTATTTAGATCAATGTTCTCACAAAAATTTACTAATTTCTGCCACTGCAAGTCAACAGCTCAGGAAATATACTCCTGTAGCAATGGCTACACATGCAACAATAGAAGAAATGTTGGAAGCAGTGTTTTCTATGTAATCAGTGCCAAGGCTGTATAATGAGGACCAATGGGGCAGGTTAGTTAGTTCGGAGACAGTCGCCAGGTGGTAAGGATGGAAGCAGAGGAACATCTATTGTTGGCAGATGCTACTCAGCAAAAACTGAAGATACAGAAGACTTTGTGTGTGCTGTAGTGACATTGAGTATGTAAATTAGTGAAACTGTTACAGCTATTTGTAGCTACAAGCTATAAATGTTCAATAAATACAGGGAGATTGAGAAGTCGCGCACATCACACTAAGCAATTATATTCTGCTGGTTTCATGAACAAACTATAAAACTTACAGCAGTCACTATTTATGTTTATAACCTTGCATCTTAAAAATGCAAAATCAAATCATGTCCTTACAACATATGCTCAAAACAGCTTCCCTGTTCAGCAATGCATGTGCGACCTCTTTTTACCATGTTTGAGGCCACTTTGTGGAGCACCTGTAAATTGATGCTGTTAATCGCCGTCGTAATGTTCCTGTGTATGCGGATTGTTTTTATAGACAATTTCTTTGAGGTACCCCCAAAGGAAAAATCTGCAGGTGACAAATCAGCTGAACGGGGGGGCCACAATCCTTTCAAAATGAGACAGTCACCGAAAAACTCGCGCAAGAACTGCATGGTTTCATTAGATGTGTGACGTGCGGCACCGTCTTGCTGCAACCAACACTCACATTCATCAACTTCAAGAAGCACAATAAACTGTGTAATGATGTCTTGGTATACTGGACTGTTCACTGTTGTTTCAGAGACAACTGGGCCCACTATTCGATGACGTGATATAGCACACCACACTCCAATTTTCTGACAGTGCAAGGGCTTTTCATGTAACATGTGGATTTTCAGATGACCAAATCCTATTGTTTTGTCTGTTCATATAGCCACTAAGGTGAAACCACGCTTCGTCAGTGAAGAAAACTGGATCAAACTCTTCAATTCCATGGTTGCCAACAAATGCCCGGAACCATCTACAGTACACTAAGCGTTTTTCTTTATCCAGGTCCTTCAGTTCCTGCACACAGCGAACATGATATGCACGAAGGTGTAACTTCTTCATTGCTTTCTGAGCACTTCCATACGAAATCCCTGATCGCGCTGATAGTCTCCTCAGGCTTCTAGAAGGGGAACGCTGCAACATTTTCTCCATGTCAGCCAGTTTAGCCTGTCAAAATGGCCGGTCTCCCGGATCTCTTTCTATCTGAAACTGATCCACATTCCTGAAATCGGCTGATTATTCTCATTATCGTCGAATTGTTAGGAACTGCAGAATCTGGATATTCCCAACGAAACTTGTCTACGACAGGTGCATAAGAACGACTGGCGAAATAATGTTCCACAATGAAAGCTTGTTCTTGGGAAAACGACATGTCTGTCACGCAATAAACAAAGCTATACTGCAGATGTTGTATGACCCATACACGACAGATGGCGTTCTTACTTGTTGTTAGTACTCCTACAGTACCATCTAGTGGTAGGAGATATAATTATACAGTGGAACCTCGCTTAACAAGCACCTCTCATAACAAGTAATTCGCATAACGAGCAAAACAAATTGTAAAAAATGACTCGCTTAACAAGCGACGTGTCGCATAATGAGCGACGAGAGCGTAAGTCCCGGATTGTGCGCTTGCTACATCAGTCTGTGTTTAGCACTTGTTCCACTAGCATCTTAGTGTCGCTTGTGATCACACATTTTCCGAACTTGTGTTCAGACATTATCTGTGATTTTCTTTGTGCAAAGTTTAATAACCCTTGTAAAAATGTCCCCAAAGAAAAAAGCTGCAAAAAGACAGCCATAAGAGAATAAAAATAACCGTAGAAATAAAACGTAAAATCACTGAAAAGCGAGAACGAGGTGTGAGCGTGGCTGATCTAGCACGCACATACAGTCGGTCTACATCAACGATTTGCACGATTTGAAGTTGCATTGTGTTTCACAGCAAGAGTTGTGGAGGAGAGTTTATCAGAGGAGGAGGAGGAGGAGGAGGTAACAGGAAAGCAACAATATTCTGGTGCAATAAGAGAAATGCTGAAAGCATGGGAAACTGTTGCATCGTACACTGAGAAGCATCACCCTAATAAGGCAGTGGCTATGTGTGCTACATATTTATTTAATGATAATGCTGTGTCGCATTTTCATCAAATTTTGAAGTGTCGGCAAAAACAAATGTCTCTAGACAGCTTTCTAGCAAAAAAGAATTAGATATGTATTATAAATAATAAACTAATAATTTCGATTTTTTTTCTCTGCAAATCGAATTTGCATTCCAGGTTGGTTCATTCTACATAGAAGAAAAGATGAAGATGATTCACGCTCCTTAACAATGTATATATAATTTTCTTTGAATAAACGTTATACATAAAATTTCTTGAGTATTTTTTTTGGCATAGAACGCATTATCGTATTTTACATTATGAGTAAGATTCTGGAATGAATTATGCTCATTAAGCGAGGTTCCACTGTATTAACTGCAATGAAATTTATAACAGCTTTTAGTTTGATGTGCGCGAGTTTTCAATCTCATCAATCATCAATCCAAACACTGTGTCTAGTCACTAACACATAACAATATATCCTTCTCCACCTTCTCTTCTTCGTGGCCTAGTTTCACGTCTATTCAAACTTCACAGGCATCTTTTAAATGGCCTACCTACACCTCTATGTCCCTTTGACTTGCACTTAAACAAGCTTTCCATTCTATCAAGATGATGTAACCATTTTCTCTACAGTCATCTATTTTATTATTTACTGTAAAGACATTTAATTCCTTCTATAAATATCTTCACTTTTATGCAATTCGGTACATTTTTGACTACTCTTCTGAATTTCATTTCTGCTACTAGAATTTTGCTAATTTTTATTTCTTCTTAATTAAAGTTTCACTGCCACAAAAGAAATGTGGGAAATGCCATTAACCAACACCAAGGCACTAAGTCTTTCTTGAGATGCCACTAGTCATTCAACCACTTGAGAAACTCACAATATCTTATGGAACCAGAAGGTTCATTACCATGTTCACAAGAGCCCTCCCCTGAACCAGATCAGATCAGTCCAGTCCATACTACTCCAGCCCATCTCTCTAGGATCCCTTTTAATATTATCCTCCAACTTATGTCTTGGTCTTCCTACTGGTCTCTTTCCTTCTGCCTTTCCACCAATATCCTACATGCATTCCTCTTCTCCTCCATTCGTGCTACATGCCCTGCTCATCTCATCCTCAGTCATTCTAATTACATTTGGCAAAGAGCACAAGCTATGAAGCTTCTCATTATGCAGTTTTCTCCAACCTCCTTTCACTCTGTCTCTCTTCTGTCTTTATATTCTCTTCAGCATCCTGTTTCCAAACACCCTCAGTCCATGTTCCTCCTTTAATGTCACAGACCAAGTTTCACACCCATACAAAACCACAGGAAAATTATAGTTTTGTATATTCTAATTTTTATGCCTCTAGACAGCAGATAAGAAGACAAAAGGTTCTGGACTGAATGGTAGCAAGCAATACCCGAATTCAGTCTCCTCTTAGTTTCCTCTTGAATCAAGTTTTGATTTGTTACTGTTGTTCCCAAATATCTGAACTGTGCCACATTTTCAAAACATCTGTTAGCTATCTTTATGTCATGATTTTGCCCTGCGTTCTGGTGATGAGACAGCAACATACACTTAGTTTTCTCTGTGTTTATTTCTAGACCAACCTCCTTAATAGCATCAATTAAAGTAAAGAAACTTTTGAAACTTAAATATTCATGATCTAAATTACTCACTATAATATCACTATGCTTGCATGTGTTCTTGAAATTTTTTAAGCTAATAAAAAGTAAGTATATGCAGACAACAAAAGTGCAATGCAGTGCAGTTCTGCTGATCCTATTGTGTACATGTGCACATAATTTAAATTCTACAGTAAAAACTGAAACATCTGATCACTGGTAGTAAAATTTAAATTAACAATAATAATACCATGACATATGTACTTCAACTATGGGGTGGAAGTAATTAACATTTTGTAAATGCTTTTATCCTTGTAGTTTTACAATCTGCAAAACTTCCATTCTAAAAGAGTAATCATTTCCTATGCAAATTCTATCAGCAATATATACTAAGAGATGAGATATTACAACACATTATGACATAAAATATGAAGTCGAACTATATACCAGAACATATCTATAAAGACACATCTGTGATGTGGTATTGCAGCTACTCACATTGACATGTTTCTTTCGCTGCTCCTTGTCTTGTGGGTGTAAGCAGGCATGACCACAAAGATCACATGTGTCACCATGAATGTACACACACTGGCTACCATATTTGCACTCCCCTGCCTCTTGGAAGGGACAGAGCTTTTTCTTATTACTTGGTGATGATAAATGTGCTTGAGGCAATGAAATCATTTTGCCAGCCATTGGGTTTAGCACTTCAGCATAAGACTTAGGAGGCACTACAATACAAAACACACCTCTCACAAACAGTTCTGTAACAGGAATCTCACTTTATAAAACACAAAACACAGTGAAGGCATCAGTTGTTTGCCAAAAATATGTTAGGTGTTTCCTTTCTGATCACCAAAGCTCAAGAAATTTCCTTTTACAAGTTTCAAGTTATCATAAAAACAAATCCCTGCAAGAGAACAAAGATAAAATTTGCTTCTTTATGAAGATTTTGACATGTAACTCTTCAGAGCTTCACCAGAGTTCAAGAGAAATCACATACATTGAATATCTTATGCTCACAGACCTTGCACAGCCCAAATTTACAGTGTGAAGTTGGTCAGAATTTCATGTAATGATAGGTGATATAAGTAGCTTGAGAGACATGTTATCTCATTTCCAAAAGGTATCTAGTAGCTGCACGTCCAACTACCTCTGCATAGCATGCACAATTTCAGGATCTGGTTTCCATACTATAAGTAATGTGGATTTCACCTGCAAGGTTTTTTACCATGTGAGGTATTCCTTCATGAGATATCTTACTCAAGGAAAATGAAGGTGCATAACATGTATCTGATATCTCATTGAAAACAACTACAGGCTTAGTAAGTCACAACACATCGGCAGGAAACAGAAATTTTCAACCACCACCACTTGGTTACATGTTTGTGTTCTGCAGAGTGTGAGTTTTTGAAATACTGTAGAAACATTTATCATCATTATGGTAAGCTGTATGCATGTTAAAATGAACATGAGGATTGGTGTTACCAACCATAACTTAAAGTGAAGGAAAACATAATACAAAGACTGATTACATATGAAGCATGTCTCAGAGATATTATCAATATTGGGAAAGTAACAGCACACTATAAGAGTTTTGAAAGGAAAAACCCATGGTACAATAAAGGTACAGCAAAGCACTTTAAGTTGATTTTTATTTCCAGAAAACTAACCTAACACCACAGGACACATACACAGTCATAAAGTAGTACAATCAGCACCTTATCACTACCAGTACAACCCTATAAAAATTACATGGGCACAAATAAAGAATTACATGGCAGAGAAAAATATGACACGTAAAACTGCCTATACCAAGAAGTTGACATATAAGGCAAAAGACCATATAATCATTTTAGAATGGGAAGACTGCACCGGGTACACAGAAAATCTCCACGAACATGTCTGTAAAGATCTCTTAGAAATTATAATCTGGGAACCCATCATCATCGATACACAATATCCCTTTTCTGTAAGCTCCAGCCATGAATACATTTTGGACTAAATAAACAGGCAACTTTATTTCATTTTCATTTTGGATTAATACTCCTGACTGGAATTATGCATGTATTTAACTACAATTAATAATATCTGAAAGATGTATGAATGCACAGGTGTCTTTAGGCAGGAACTGATTTTGCAACACTGTAGAATATGCTGTGCACTGGCACAACCAGAGGCCATTAATGACACTGGTACTACAGTATATGCTGTTAACAATGTATGAAACAAAGACATTAACATAACAAAAAATGAAATTTTGTTGAACAGCAGTAAAGATATTGCCCTGGAAAGAATTACATAAACCATACATGTTTATGACCCTAAAAATGAAAACAAGGCAAAATCATATTCAGCATAGCAGTCATCAACCCCACCCCTCCCACAAGAGAACAAAAAAAGATAAAATAATAAATAAATAAAAACAGAGTTAAATTATGGAAATAATGCCTTCTATTATACTGTATATGCCGGGCATTTTCCTAAAGTGATTTAAATGAAATCTGATAAAGGTTAAATAACATTACTTACTTACTTACTTACTTACTAATGGAGCTGAGCCCTTCTGGAGGAGCTGCCAATTCTGCAGCTACTCAAGAATTTCCCAGCATTCTATAGAACCTGAAGGTTCATCACCGTGTTCACAAGAGCCCTCCACTGGTCCCTATCCTGAGCCAGATCTATCCAATCCATACCATCACATCCTATCTCTCTAAGATCCATTTTAATATTGTCCACCCACCTACGCCTTGGTCTTCCCTGTGGTCTCTATCCTTCTGGCTTTCCCACCAATATCCTATACGCATTCCTCGTCTCCCCTATTCGTGTTACATGACCTGCCCACCCCATCCTCCTTGACTTGATCATTCTAATTATACTTGGAGAAGAGTACAAGTTATGAAGCTCCTCATTATGCAGTTTTCTCCAACCTCCTGTCACTTCATCCCTCTTTGGTCCAAATATTCTCCTCAACACCCTGTTCTCAAACACCCTCAGTCTATGTTCCTCCCTTAATATCACAAACCAAGTTTCACACCCATAACAGTAACATTCCTACCACAAAGAAAGATGGAGACTCAATGACCGCTACAATATTGTCACATGATTGACTACGGATGGGGTTTGGATTGGTAACTTGATTTACTGCAGGCTTATTAGCCATCCAGGAAACTTCTCAGAACTTCCTGTCGGCAGACACTCCAGGATCCTCCAGCAGACTGAAGATCATTCATGCAGTGATAACATTGAGTCAGTCAGTGTTGCACCATCAAGTGTTACAGAAACTCTATATAGTGCTCTGTTCTGTGTCTTTATGGCTTGTGTGAGATATAGTTCAGAACAAAGAGCTTCCATTTATGATTGTTATGTGAAAAAGAAAACTCATACAAATCATACAGGAGAAAATTTTGCCATAAATTTCCCAAAACAACATGTCCATCTGAGATACAATTTCCAAATTAGTGAAGAAAGTTCAAATTCAGGACATTTTAACTGACAGAACACCATTAAAAAGAAATCGTGTTTTAACTGAGGAAAAACTTGATGACATTGGTCACTGATTAGAAAATTCTCCTCAAAAATATTTGCGGCGATTAGCACAACAAAGTGGTGTTTCTGTAGGCAGTAACTAAACTGTTGCATATTCATCCATATAATATTACTGTTGTTCCTGAAATTAAACCTATGGATTATGAAAAAAAAAAAGAGTGAGATTTTATAATTGGTTTATCAACCATGTGCAAGATGGACTTCTTGATCTTAAGCTGATGTTCTTCACAGATGAGGATAATTTTAATCTCTTGGGATATGTTAACTCACAAAACAACAGGTAGTGGTCTAGTGAAAATCCTCATGTACTAATTCAACTTCCCCAAAAGATAGGGGTATTGTGTGCGATTAGCGCAAACTGTATAAATGGACCGATATTTTATGAAGGAACTCATGTTGCTCAATGATACCTTAATGAAACACTCAATCCATTTTTGGTTAATTGGAACCTGCAGTAGAAAGATTCGGTTATTTTATGCAAGATGGCATAACTCCACACACACAGCTAAGGAAACTACCCGAGCATTACGAAGTGTGCTTGGAGAAGTAAATGGGGACAACAGATTTATTAACAAGGGTTTGTGGCACCCCTAGATTCCCAGATCTAAACCCCTGAGATTTTTATTTGTGGGGAAAACTAAAAAATGTTGTATATGCCAACATTCCACATGACTTGGAGGCTCTAAAACAGAAAATTCATAAAGCAATTTACAACATTCAGCAACATGAATTGCAACAAGTTTCTCGAAATCTGTTTAAAAGCATTCAGGTATGTCTCACAGCAGAGGGCAGACATTCTGAACATCTTCTATGATGGTGAGTACAATATTAATTACTATATTTGATTAATAATTAACGAAAGACGTAAACAATGTGTGCTACTGGTTCTGAACGCCTGCAAGCATTTTTTCTCGGCAGGTGATGCATTGCTTTCGCAGTAAGTAGCGGATGGTAAAATTAGCATTCAATCATCCTGTGCTCTGAACATGGTGTAGATCATAACTGAAAGTAACTATAGTGCTGTCGCTAATTCACATGATTTACAGTTCACTGCAGCATGCAATGAGTTTTCTCAGTTTGCCGGGTCTACATCAGCTGCCTGGTAACGATTTCCAGTGCTATAGATATCTCAGCCAACATGTTCACGTCCTTCTGGCCACTGACTGCCTCACAACTCACTCAGCAATGCTACACGACGGCTTACAATTGGGGCTCCTCACCTTCCACGCCTGCACCAGAGGCGACTCTCTCACAACAACCTCAGACTTGGACTGGTCTGCCTGCCTTGACTCTCTCTCTAGACTAATTGGCTCATGTTCTGATTCTCCACAAACAGCCTCCACATGGACCCAACAGAAACACTGTTTCCCAGAACCCCTCTATCGTCATGTGACATCACTGCAGACAAGGACATGATGTGTTCCTGTGTTGCATGTAATCACAGCTGTGGTCACATAGCCTGGTAGCCATGGAAATGTGTTTACAGAGCTACTGTCTCAGAACAACCATCTCTGCTGATTAAACTATTCTGGCTTCCACTGGCCATGCCACAATATATAACATTTTTATTCCTACAAAAACCAACAGAGGTAACTAGAATCTGTGAATATCCCAGAAAACCTATTTCCTTCCAGGCTAGATTATAAAAAAATAATAAAATGAACTCTCTTCTCAAATGGAAAACAACAATGAAGTTGTGCCAAAAAAAATTCACTAATTCTTCAGAGTCAAAAGAATATTCTGATATCAGTATATTACCACTATCTCAATGAAACTATAAAAATACTGAACAGGGGTGGCCAAGAAAAATGCAAGTTTTGACATAAGTGCAAGCCCAATATTACGAAAATTTATAAAATTTGTAGTTCTTGCTATAACAAATACTTGTAATACCAGGACACGGTTGGAAAATATAATATTGAGAACCCACCTTCTTAATATATATATTTCTACAAAAGGTTAAGCTATCCTTGTAACAGGTCATGGAGGCCCATTGCATTCCGAGATGTTCAGGCTATGACATTTTCTTGACAATCGGCTCACAGATGGTTGTGAGCTTGTCAGCCTTATGCGCCAGCCACCCTTTAATCCTAGGAAGATTCCTGGTACTCATTTCTGTTAGAGGCTGAGTCAACCCCATGGCTATAGTGCGGCTGGAAGGACTAAGTCACTTGAAAAATCC